TTCTTCTTCTTCTTCTTTAATATTTTTATCAGTTGTTGATGAACTTTTGTTTTTTATTTATTTATATGCAGCGTTGAGAATCGAGCCCAGTAGCTCACATCTACCACTCCAACCTTCCGGCTTCTTAATGGTGCTGAAAAGGTAGGAAATCTTAGGAGCTCCAGGGGTGTGGGGAAGAGGGAGAGCTGAAGTTAAAATCTTGCCAGGTTCCACAAACTGAACTTTGAGCCTTGACCTGGTGCCTTTTTGTAATTCATCCACCCAAAGGGGTACTTTTCTCTTAATTCACCCAGTGGAACTGCCTCTGCTAGATTTGGTCTTGGGCATGGGATTCTGGAGTATAAGAGTTTCCAAAATTATTTATAAAAAGCGTCATATCAATTGATCCAAATTATCCCTATTTCAAAGGGCAAAGTTCTATCAATGCAAATCAGATAGTGAAGATGCAGTCTGGGTAGGGTCTACCCAATCCTGCCACTCCTGAAATAGGTACAAAGACTGGTCAAAATTGGGTGAAGGGCTGGGGTTGTGGCTCAGTGGCAGAGCACTTGCTTCGCACATGTGAGGCACTGGGTTTGATCCTCAGCCCCACATAAAAATAAACAAAATAAAGATATCGTTGACCATGTATAAGTAAAAAAAAATTTTTTTTTTTAAATTGGGTGAACACAAAATACAAAAAGAGGCACAGGCTGGGATAATCCTGTTACCATGAAGGGCTTAGTTCAATAAAACAAGCCTGGGCAGAGTCACTGGCCCAGTCCTAAATCTTCAACCCAAAACTCTAAAGATTTGAAAAAGTAATTTGCCTACCTTGGTTGGGCAAGTAAAATTGTAAAGAAATGGTAGTGATAGTTGGTTTAAATACACAAGTGTACTAATCATCTGAGTGACCATTATGCTCATTAGTGTATGCTTCTTTTTAATGTTTAAAATCCTTAGGCTATTTGACTTACTAAAGTTATGCATTTCACTTACTAGAACTTTAACATCTTGAAGATATCGGATACAGTGAATCTCTAAGTATGGTTTGAAGTGTTGAGGAATTCTAATCAGGTTTGTATAAGAGTTTTATATAAGAGTTTCATATTTCAGATTTACAAGCACTGAAGCAAAGAAGCAAATATGCACTTTTAACATTAAACACATAATTTCCTGTGGAATTAAGTTGTATTTCAAGTTTAAAGAAAAAGTAGTTTTTTAAAATCATAACTTTAATGAGATAAACTCTAATTAAAGCCTGG